TTGAAATGAATAATCTGTTGGTTCTGAGGATGTGTGGTTCTATCTATGCAGAACGCAATGCCCTGCAGAGGTCGAGGGTATGGAGTCTTGCTTGCGCCTCATTGTCGTGAGGTTTAGGAAAGATGACAGGTAAGTTGATGGGCTCATTGCAATGGAATGAGATGGGGACCTTCAGCATTAACTTGGGGTGAGGCCAAAGTACCACCTTGTCTTTATGGAAGACAGTAAATGGGGTGGGGGGGATGTTAGAGCCACAAGGAAGGCCACCTTCATGGAGAGGTGGAGCAATGAGCAGGTTGCCATCGGATCAAAGGGTTTTCTCATTAGGGTCCTCAGAACGAGATTAAGGTCCCAAGTGGGAACTGGTAGTTTGATGGGCGGCGAGGTGTTTTGCAGGCCTTTGAGAAACCTTTTACTTTTCGGGTGTGTGAACACCGATGTATCATCTATTGGTTAGCATAGAGCTGTGATCGCAGGGAGATGGACTTTAAGGGAGCTCAAGGAAAGACCTGAGTTCTTAAGCTCCATGGTGTATCGCAGGACAGCAGATTAGTGGAACTGAGGCCGCATCGAGGTTGTTTCTTTGGGACCAAGCAGAGAAACGTCGCCATTTGTACAGATAAGATTTCCGAGTGGCTGTTCTGCAGCTCTTGGGAGAATTTCTTGGACTTGATTCGTGCTTTGTGATTCTAGTGGAGTGACACACTGAGAAACCATGCCTGGAGCTGGAGAGTGCGTAGGCGTGGGTGATGGAGGTGACTGCAGTGCTGGGTGAGGAGATGCGGGAGCCGAGGGAGACGCCATGGCCGCTTGGATGACATTTGGAGCGGGTAAGTGTACCATGTTTGTCTTGGCCAGTCCAGGGCTTGTGGGACCTGTCCATTCAGATTTTGTTGACCACTCAATGGAGAAGTAGTATCAGTGGAAAAGCATAGAGGAGTGCTATGCCCCAGTGGATCGTGAATGCATCTCCTAGGGAGTGTGAGCCTATTCCTGCCCGTGAGATGTACTGTGGGCACTTTTTGTTGGTATAGGTCACAAATAGGTCTATCTGGGGAAAACTCCAGCATTGGAAGATTTGGTGTAAGATGGTTGGATCTATTTCCCACTCGCTTTGTGTGCTTCGGATGTCAGGTCTCTATAATATACGCATGTAGTGGTGCTTCCCCAGGCAGCAGAGATAAATGAACGCCCCTCTGGGTGCGAAATATACAAGCAGCAAATAGATGGCACTTGAACCTAGGTGGCTTTTCGGGGAGGGAAGGAGTTCTGAGAAGGTTTCTGAGGAAAAATTTCTCAGACTGAGTAAATCAAATAAAAATCAATAAATGCAGAGGGGAGAGCCCCCATGGAGCGAGCCCCACAAGGGGAAAGCAGGTGGGAGGGAGCCTCCACTTATCAGCTCCACAGCTGATTGCAGAAAGGGGAAAAAAAAACCCCACACATTTTCTTCTTATCGTGAAAGGAAGGCAATTTTAAGGCAAAAGCTGACTAAAAACTGTGGGAAAAAGGCTAGCTATCTGTCCAAGGAGCTCAATGCAGAGTGCACTGAGGGTTCCAACTGACCCTGCCAGCAGCAGAGAAGGAACTGAAGGGAGCGTAGCCTGCGCATGCGCATTAGTTGCCCGGCGCATGGAGAGTGCTGTGCACACGCCCACTACCTGTCACTAGCACTGCTTTGAAATCTTCCAGCTGGGTGTGCTACGACACCCAAACACCTAAGGTGGAGCACCCACAGGGACACTCCTCAAAGAAGAACATAAAGTAACTTCTCAGCTCTCAGAAAATACCTTGAAATATAAACCTTCACAACAGGACTAGTAAGAAGGACAAGGAGTCTGGGCCTTCCAAGAGCAGGTGCTGCTGATCCCCACGTGAGAAAAGGGGAAAATTCTGTAATATGTCAGTCACTGCCAGGAATATCATTTGGGAGAATAAGTAGAGATTGCTGGCTAGTGGATGCGGAAAGGTTAAAATACTCTTCGAGCATATCAGGAGACATGAGGAGTTCAAGTCATGTAACTGAATGGGTCATTAAAGGACTGGCTGAAATTGACCCATATCAATGGAGTTGCTAGAAAGACAAAGGGACCTCCATGACTGAGATACTCACACCTACCAACAGCAGAAAGAAAGGAAATTTCCCCCCACCTCTCTGCAGACAAACAGTGCAGAGACTCCAAGCTGAAAAATAAAGGGGAAAGAATGTCAGGTGGCTGTATTAAGATCTGGCTTTTGGAGAAACACAGCAGCTCTGATCTGGGACTGACGAAGGAAAACAAAATACTTCCTGCTGCAGCATGGCTCAAGGTAGTATAGATTGCTTTTCCCCCCCTCCATGCTTACCTGAAGAATTTTAGATACTTTATGCTACATGACTAATTGTTTCCTTGTTTTGAAAAGACTTACTAGTGTGATTACAAATACTTACTTGAAGTGCACTGATCCCTGAAAAGGATAAGATAACCTGTTCAGGAGTGTATCACAGCCCAACTTGTTTGACAAAGCTCGCAATGAGAAGCAGTGCTGGAGCTGAGACAGACTGGGAGACACTAAGGGTGTGTCTAGACTACAGAGTTTTGTCGACAAAAGTGGACTTTTGTCGACAAAACTATACCTGCGTCTACACTACCACTGAGTTCTGTCAACATAACGTTGACAGAACTCAGCAGTTTTGTCGACGCTGGTAAACCTCATTTTACGAGGCATAACACCTTCTGTCGACAGAGTTCTGTCGACAGAAGGTGTTATTGCATGTAGGGTTGTGTCTAGACTACAGGGTTTTGTTGACA